AAAAATTTCAAAACGTCAATGCTTTCGCGAGTGTTCAACAATAAAATAAAAGTATATTAAACTCTTCCAAAATGGTTAGAATACATTTGAATTATGCGCAAAAAGCAAGAGCAATTGCCAAACTCGAAGAAGGTTGGTCACTAAGGCAAGTTGCTGCTGATTTGAACGTGAGTCATATGTGCATATGGAAGATTAAACAAAGATGGGATAATTTTCACTCTATAGCACGGTTGGACGGTTCAGGAGGGCAGAAGATTTCCACAGATCAACAGGATGAGATGTTAGTAGATTATTTGAGAGAATCTCCTTTTGCCACAGCTCAAAAGGCAAGAGAAGAGGCAGCGTTTCCAGGCAGTATTCGCACTGCACGTCGAAGAATTAAAGCAAGTGGACTGCTAAATTGTGTAGCTGCACGGAAACCTTTTTTGACTGAGGATCACAAGAGGAGACGAGTTGAATTTTGTAATGAATTTATAAACCGCGATGAGAATTTTTGGTCTAGGGTTGTATTTTCCGATGAAAAAGTATTTCAGTCGTATAATAATGGTCGAATAAGAGTTTATAGGCCGAGAAATCATAGGTATGATGAACAGTATACGCATCATTTAAGAAATAGTGGAGGATTCTCTGTCAACGTATGGGGATGGATAAGTGCCGAAGGCCCGGGCGTTTGTTATCATGTAGAGGAGAAGTTAACAGGATTATATTACAAACATATTATTGAGCACACAATGTTGCCATCGGTGATCCAGAGATTCCCCAACAACGACTTTATCTTCCAACATGACAATTGCCCGGTGCATACGAGTAGAATTGTTCGAGAATGGCTAGAAGAAACTGATGTTAATGTTCTTCCGTGGCCTTCCCGTAGTGCAGACTTTAACCCCGTCGAAAATGTGTGGGCAGAGTTAACAAAGAAACTAAATGAAAGAAACCTTAGACCACGGAATAGAATTGAATTATGGGAAGCAATTGAGCAGGCATGGGAAGAGCTTGTTAACTATAACATGAGGGGATTGGTGCTATCTATGAACAGAAGACTGCAAAATTGTATTGACAAGAATGGGGCTTCCACCAAATATTAATTATTATTTATCACTGTTTATCGTTATTTAATATAAAATAGATTTAAAATAAAATGCATATTAAAAAAAAGACTTCTTTATTTTCGTTATTAAGATCATAATCCATTTTATTCAAAAAACTGTTTTCTATATTTTTCATTTTGTAAAATATTTTGATATTTTAATTTTAATCTACCTATTCTAGCTAGTACACCACTGGCAACGTCACTTTGACGTAAAAGGTGCGTTTAAACGAAGTAAAAATTTAAAAAATGGGCTCCTAGATACGTGAACCTGTAAACTATTCCGTGACCGCAACTGTACATGCATGAAACTCTTAGAAAAAATAATAAACAAACGATACATACACTTGAGTTTTTACCTTGTTTATGCCTGAACCTCTTCAAGGAATGGGGTACTCTTTTTTTTCGGAGTAATGGAGGTGTGGTAAACGTCAATTACTGAAATTTCTGAGTTGGTAAGAAGTAGTGGATTACTAAGAAGCAGGGCGAAGCAGAAGGTGACATGTGTGTGTGGACGACATAGGAGCGCACAAGAGGAAGTGGGGAGCTTTGCCTAGCATGCCAGATCAGGTACCTCAGCGATCACCAGCCATACAATAGGAACGGCTCTTTATCAGCGTTTTTGGCGAGCAGTTTTAACTGCGATATTTGATGGGAAATGATTCTAAGATATCAAAATACTCATCAGGAAGTTCATGTCCAGTATTGTGAAGAAGTTTTGCTGGAGGAAACGAAACTTTTCTTGTGGGAAGCCTGGTGAGTACTTGCCCTCGGTGATTGCATGGAGTCTTTAGTATTCGTTTGGTTTTGTTATTCGAGCCAGTTATGGTTCTTAGGACATACTTCCTGCTGAGGGATAGGATTCTGTCCTTGATTGGTGTGATGTTAGATGTGTCAATTCTGAGAATTAGTATCCTGCATTGGACACCTTTGAAAACCCTTTTAATTCATGGGAACTAAAAAACTTTTTTTCGTTAATTCAAAGATATAATAATATCTAAAAATCATGTTCCATTCTAATATTTCAGGTTCGTATAATAAACTAGCTGACAATTTTTGTTTTTAAATATGTATGTTGTTAGCTTTCTGATCTGAACTTGTACCTTAAATTAAAAGTTCTCTAAAAACAAGCAAGCCAGCAATTTAATTGAACCCAGCCTGAGAGACTTGTTCACCCCTTGAAATTACGTTTTGGTACAACAATTCATTAGAGCAAGGTGTATTAATTCGTGTGTAAACAGGAATCACTCCAGCGCGCTCCAATGCTCTAGACTATCCCTTTTCCCCTCATTATAGCACTCTGGCGAGCGATAGGGGCACAACTATCAGCTAAATGCTATTCATGTGGGAGTCGTGGGTAAAATAGAACTCCAACAAGTTTCCCTATCTATCTATCTAATTAGCCTTCTTCGGTCCATCTTTGGACATAGGCCTCCCCAATCCTTTTTCATTCTTCTCTGTCTGTCGCTACAGTCATCCATCTAGAGCCCACGTGCTTCTTGATATCATCTGCCCATCTCATTTGGGGCCTTCCTCTGCTTCGTTTATATTCCCACGGTCTCCAACTTACAAGAATTTTGTTCCATCGGTCTTCTTTTTGTCTTATATTGTGTCCGGCAAATCTCCATTTCAATTTTGAAACTTCTTGTCTAACATCCCTCACTTTTGTTTTCTCTCTTATCCACTCGTTTCTCTTCTTATCCATTAGTCTTATGTGCAACATTTGTCTTTCCATTGCTCTTTGGGTTTTTATGATTTTGTCCATGTTTGCTTTTGTAAATGTCCACGTTTGGGAACCATAAGTGAGAATAGGGAGTACGCATTGATTATATACTTTGGTCTTAAGATGCTGTGGATATCTTTTGTTTTTAAGAATGTAGCTTAGTTTGCCAAATGCCGCCCATGCCAGTCTAACTCGTCTCTTGATCTCTGCTGTTTGGTTCTCTTTGTTAAGTTTTATAGTTTGACCAAGATATATATAATCCTTAACTTGTTCTATTTCATCTTGTCCGATTCTCATTGTGTTGTCTTCATCTGTATTTGTTATCGTTTTGGTCTTGCTGTAATTCATAGTAAGGCCTATCTTTCCAGCTTCTACATCCAGTTCTTTCATCATTTCAAATAATTCTTCTTTTTTATCGGTTATCAATACGATGTCATCAGGGTACCTTAGATGGTTCAAGCGTTGTCCACAAATTTTTATACCTATATAATATATATATATATATATATATATATATATATATATATTGGTTATTAGTTCCGTATATCTGTGGTCAATTCGGCTGTTAATCAAAGAACTTTTCACTGCCCAATGTTCGACACTGTCGAAAGCCTTTTCGAAATCTATGAACGCCATATATAGAGGAATGTGGTATTCATTTGCTCGTTCTATAAGTATTTTCATACTTAGTAAATGGTCACTTGTGCTGAATCCCTTTCTAAAACCAGCTTGTCCTTTCGACTGGTATCCATCGAATTTTATCGTCAATCTATTGGTTAGAATTTTTGTTAGGAGTTTATACATTACATTGAGGAGTGTTATAGGACGGTAGTTTTTTATATCTGCTTTATCCCCTTTCTTGTGTAGGATAATGGTTACTGATTCCTTCCAGTTGTTTGGGATTCTTTTTTCTTTTAATAACTTGTTAAAAAGGGAATGTAGAGTATTAATTACCACTTTTCCACCATATTTCAGCATCTCTGCAGTTATTCCATCTTTTCCAGGCGATTTGTTGTTTTTCATTTCTTTCAATGCCCTAACCGATTCAAATTCAGGCTAACGTTAATCGCTTTATTCCTCTTATCCTTAGTGACTTATCTGTGAAACCGGAATTGATTGCTTGGATCTCAAGCCTTCACTCTGAGCTGCGCCCAGTTCTTGGTCCAAGACTTGGTGCTCAAGGGATTGGGCCCTATGCGGTCGGGTATTTTAGGTTTTGTTAATTTTTTTGGTTTTTGTTTTTTGGCGCTGGTTTTTTGTTAGTATTTTTTGTTTATTATAAATTGTTTTTGGTAGGATGTCCTGAAAAATAAAATCATAATTACTGGGGCCTACACAGTTCTATTGCGCTTCCCTATGTTGATAGAGCGACGAACTATCCTCTTTTATTTATTTCTTGTACTTCCTCTCTAGGCTGTGTTTTTTTTTCTCTCTAGGGTTTTCTCTCAAAACAATTAGGACACCGCATTTACATCTGACACTAACAATTTTGAAATTCATGACAATCGATTACTCTGTTCATGGGACAATCATTATATCACATTTTATGGGATGAAAATACGTACAAGACCCAAGTGTTTCTGAGAACAGATATTCTATCTCAAAATTGAGAATTTATTTCTATTATATATAAAATGATTCACAAACGGTCTTAGAGAACAATGTTTAACACGAACTTCAAAATACCACAAAAATGTTCACTTTTGAATGTTGTCATTGAAAAGACGCAAAGATATTTCTAAAAACTACAAAAAGTTTCTGAAAACTTTATAAAATTTTTCTTGTGGTCAAAATTTTCACCAAATATGATTTATTTTCGAACAGCATTGGAATCATTAGTCACAATCGAAGGTCAAAGTATCTATTATAAATATGTATATAGCGTGCATTAACTAGAATATCAGGTTTTAAATTCTAGGTACTGTTCTTTTTTAGTCTGAAATTTTCAGAACAATCTTTTTTTTTAGATAAAGAATGTGAATCATTATTATTTAATATCTTGTCTTACCGAACATTATATTTTAGGAGATGAGTAAATAAAAAAGTACAGATAATTGATGGTGTGGTACTCTCTCGCATTTAGCATGCGTAATAGTATAATTCATTAGTACTACCATTATTACGAGTACCTACCTTATTACAACTTTTAAAATTTTCAAATTGTGTTTTCCCATACAGGGTCATAAAGGAATGTATGGAAAGGATACAGGTACAGGTATGATAAAGATAGAAACTACAGCAGTTAAAAATATGTCGTCAAGAAAAGAATAAACTCTATACAAAAAAAAACCGAATTAAAAACTGGAAGAAGAAAGCTAAAGACAAAAACAAAAAGGTATATTGCATTACTACCTTTGTAATAAGCAAAGTGTGATGTTCAGTCTTTATTTTGTATGTTAGATATACTCATGTTTATGTATTTTCCAAATATTATCAGTAATTAATTTTTATAAGGAAAATCAAAGTGCAGATGGGAAGACCAGGTCAGAGAAATTATCAACAGAATGATTTTTTTGTTCCTTGCGATATTTATTCATTTAGAGCTTGCACATTTTTAAGCTCTTCTGTCAATTGCATTTTTCTAGTCCTCTTGTCCTCTTCTGTTTACTCGCGTATGAGCCTCGTGACTTTGTGACATATGATGTAAGTTTATATTGACATTTGAAGTATTGTTTGACGTTATTCATCTCTGTTTTCAACTATTTGGATGCACTCATACATAGATATGCCTGTCTTTGGAGTATGGACGTCTTTCTCTTGGCCTTTTTCTTTTAAGTTTTTTCTATTTCCAGTTTTCCTAACTACCAGCTTTCCGAACGAATCGTTATTCTTTCTATTTGTCTATTCGCAGGTGGTGTGTGAATGGCAGAATCATTGTAATGGTCTTCTCTTGTCTTAAATCACTTTAGCGTTAAAATGTTCAATTATAATTATCATTTCTCTTCTCTAACTGTGTAGAATTCGTCGATTTCCTCTTCTGAAGACTGACTAGTCTGGACATACACCTGTATTGTGTCGAATTTTATAGGTTTGGTGTTAAGATTGATTGTATGATTCTGCTATTCACACTGTGTGATAGCAGATACACTTTTCATATCGGTATTACCGTAGCAGTGCAATGGTATAAATGAAGACTTTGAAGAACAAAATTCATATGAAATTGACCATCTACAAATGCAATAATTTGTCGAGGTAATCACAACATTTGGAATAAAAAGTTATATCACTGTTTAAACAAGTAAAAACTATACAAGTTATTGTAGAATAGATAATCTTCATGATATATTTCCTCAGCATAAATATTTAGCTGATTTTTTGTATCATTTTGTTGTTTTTCTCACCTTATACCCGAACCCGTTATCCCATAAAGATTTCTTTTCGCACGTTATTGGTTATTTCCATAAACTTGCAAGCAGTAATAGTTGTATTTATTCTACAAATTAGAAAAATGTAAAAACGTAAATTCCATAATTTCGATGGAGGTATGTATTACCATATATTATTGATTATTTAGTCGTAAAACAGAAAATATTCTAAAAACCCACCTGTACTTTCTTTTTTACAAAGACGTTTAAAAAGGAATGTGTTAATATCCATACAAATAGGTAAGTCAAGGAAAATTGTAAAATACATTCGATTTATGATATACAGTGAGCTTGCATACCAAAATCAACATAAAACTAAAGAAAACCTTGTAACCCTGTAAGTAAACAGTTGAAAACACTAATAAAAAAAGTTAATAAAATTTTAAAATGCAGGAAATATACTGAAAAAATAGAATACTAACTATTGAATATGAGATATCAAATAATCATCTAGTATCATAGCTATCCTTAAAGATAATCTGGGGTTTCGATCTACATCACCTATATGAAAAAGTTTAAACAGAATTCGCATAAGTGAGTAAAACTTTTAACACCAAACTGCGACAGTGCAACTGCAGATTTTACCACTGCATTTTTTACTTTGTCTAGGAATATGAGCTGAGAATATACCCTCATGATCCAATGGACTTGGTCTCAAAAGTCATAATGCCTTGATGGACCAAGACCTCAATACAGCTATTTATATATATTATCGGAACGGACAAGCACTCTAAGAAGAGGACCAGAAAAATTAGTACATCAAAAGCATTTTTCGTGACACTCTTTCATACAGGTATCTAACAATTACTTGGTTGAAGACCGGTAAATTATATGTAAAAGTGACACAATTTTACTGAAAAAGCATAGAAAATCCTTTAAAATAAGGGTAAAGTTATTTTTGGTGCAAAAATAGCTTCAAAAGTCATTTTTTTCAAATTTATTAAGACCGTCTCAAACAATGCACAAAAAACTTTGATTTAGCTTGATAATAGGGACAGTATCACATGTATTCAACAATACAAATTACAAGAAGATTCACTTAACAGTTATTGCAAAATTGAAATTGTTTATCCCAGAATAAAAGTACTGTGGCTTTAAGTTTATAAACATTTAAAATAACTCAGAAGCTTCAATGTATAGGTTAAGAAGTTACTTCTTTTATTCGAAATATTCGAAAACGAATTAAAAAACAAAACAAAATGTCCTACGAACCTTACAACCCAAGTTAGCCCTTGTTATTTCTTAATTTTACTATTTCAAAAACTGAATTCATAAATTCAAATTTATAAAAGTCGCAATATCTCCGGTTCTAATCAACGAAAATTAATGTTTGTTTAATATGGGGTACATTGTTGCATACATTATAAAAATTCGATTAGTCAATCTGTGAATTTTTTATTTACCGGGCAATGTTTTAAACAATTTACTTTTCTCTTATTATTAGTAGTAGAAAAGGTAGTATTATGAAATTATGGGTAACTTAAATATTTACGTATTTTCGTTATTAATAATATCTTTTAAAAATAAATTTTACAAAAAAATTAAACTTTTATTTGAAAATCACGTCTATACGTGTTATTTTTCTTGAATTATGCATATTATTTTTACAATTACTTTTCTTGACTGAAAAACATTACAAATATAATTAAAAAGGGGTTAATTCCTAGGAGTCGGCTGTATACCATACAGTTAAAAAACTCGAACATCGAAGTAAAACACTTGTGTGGTAATTGGTGTATTTGATTAAAAATTAATTTTAAAAATTCAAAAGGATTAACTTCAAAACTTTTCGAATGAATTAGTCCATCTTCAGTGAACTTTGCAGTACTTGCAAAATAACCTCAAAATCAAAGAGGGGTTGGGTTTAAATGGATTAAACTTAATAAAATCTATGAACAAGCTCGGATATTACTTTATAATTTTCAAATCAAAATATTCCGAAAACGGTACAGAGTATCGAGTTTTACCAAGAGTACCTTTTTGTTGTAAAATGGTATGGTGTTTAAGTTCACTTGGAACTTTAAAGACACCAAACAGAAAATCAAAACTGTCTTTCCTTTTATGTTATTTGCCTGTAACCGTTGCCTGTATTGTTAGTATTAAAAAAAGTCGCTATGAAGAGCACCTTAGCATGAAGCGTGTGTTCATGTTCAGCACTTTTTGTACAGTCACCAATAGTATTTTCAGTGGAAAGGTTAGGAAATTGAGTGAATGAACGAAATAAAAATTGCCAGATGTACATTTAAAGTATAAAAGTTAACCAATTGGCTGGTTAAATAGGTCGTGAACCTAACGCCAGAAAAACCTTTAAAAACGGTAAAAATAATAACGGATCACATTACATTGACACCAAGAAACAATGGAAGAAACCTCAATTTGTTCCTAGGTAAAGATGATAGAGGAAGACAAAAGAGGACATAAAAATAATGAAAATATCAGACTGGAAGACAAAATGTAGAAACAGAAAGGATTGGAAAAGTATAAACAAAACTGGAAAGAGACGTGAATAATTATGAAAAATAAATTAATTCAAATGGCTATAATCTAAGACGATTGAACGATTGTGATAATGGTTAAGCGGTTTCTAGTACGAAGAAGAATATATTAGAAACAATTTTTTAAATTGACATTCATTTCATGCTTTTTTCAATTAATATATTGAGAAATAATTATCAGATAACTAAATTTTTTCACTTCACTATTATGAACTATGTGATTCAAGATTTGACTAGCAATTACTATATTTTCTGTAGAGACGTTATGTGATATTGAACTGTATTTATAAATCCAAGTGTCCTCTGGATGCTACACGCTGAACATCTATTTTTAGAGATAGTAGAACTATTTGATATGAAATGTTAGGTTATACTCACTGTTTCTTTCGAAAACACCAGCTAACTTTATTAATTGCACTCAGATGTTTAGAGATAAAAAGAAGGTTCGACCTGAATGGTATGACAAAATACTATAAAATGTTATACACGGTGATCCATGAAGCATAATAGGCTAACGAATACGGTATATAATAATACTTAAAGAAGATAAATTACCAAAATTATATATTTTTTTAATATAAATATGCGTTTATTTAATGGGACAGTAATGTTCAGATCAAACCTGTTACCGATTATTCCGGAAATGTATAGAGACAACAGCTTACACATAAAAGGGATTGAGACTCTCAGACTTTATTAATGTCACAAATGGATTGAGAGAAGTCTGCAGAAAGTATCCTTTCCTATTTAATCTGTATGCAGAAGCTGCGTTTAACACTTGGAAACGTTATGAGGTGGAATGGAAAGAGCTATAAATAACGGTAATACAATTTTTTCACTCAGTTTTGGGAACGACCAAATTGTGCTAGCCCAGGAATAATGTGATTTAGAATTTATAATAAACAGTCTATATGTTGAATATAAAAAATGAAGAGTACAGATAAGTTTGAAGAAAGCAGAATATAAACATGGAAATGATCGCTATATAGAAGAACAAATTGAAGCTTTCGAAATGTTCTCAAAACTCACACGTTTTAAGAATGGTTAGGAGGATGCATACGGTAAGGTTAGTGAAATATTCACTAAGAGAGCAGTGCAGCTAAGATAGGGCAACAGGTCTAGCTTGGATAAAATGCATCTCCTGGCAGTAGGAGGATAATCTTCTTATTTGTAGGTTTGGTACTTTATCTCTGATGGTAATACCTAATATTGATCTTTACATAACGCGTTGTGTAACTCTTATTTTATCTATTGTTCTTTTTGTCAGAGTCAGTGTTTCTGCACCATATGTAAGAACCGGTAAAACGCACTGGTTAAAAACCTTTCTTTTTAAACAAACTGGATCATAGACTTGA